TCGTAAATCATTCTGAAACTGTAATGCTGAGTTGACATAGTAAGGACCATAGGAAATAATAATCATTCTGTCTTCAGAGCAGGGTTTAATAGTTTTGCAGTGAATAAGCCATGGACTACATATTGAGTATCAAAATAAGACAATGAATTACTGAACAGCTGCTCATTGAATACCATCCATTCTGTGTACTGAGTGAGGCAGGGGAAAAAAGAATGTAATATATACCGTATCATAATGCATACAGCACAATGGAATCAAATTAAGGTACCACAAGCAACCTGAATTCTGGAATTTCCTAATTTTTGAGTGCTTAATGATAATGTTCTTTTAGTGTGAGTATGAGTAAATGGAGTGGGATGGAGGGTGCTCATTTTCTGAAGTGGAAATAATAGGCAATTTGGATGTGATCACTAAACATGCTTTCGCTTGGCCTGAAACAGATTTTAATCTTTGTTTTCCAGATGTGAAATTCCAATATGGTAACTCACTGTTTCAACAAAACTCAACTAAAATCATTTGGTTTTTGTTTGCTTTTGTCATCTGATGTTCATTGGCTGTTGAAGTGCAAAAGTCTAATGCTCAATGTATTTTTTTTAAAACAGATCTTATTGTTGTGATAGCCTCAATCATTGTTCTGAGTGTAGGATCAAATGGGCAAGTGTTCGCCACATCTGCTATAAGGTACGTTCATCTAGTGACGAACCTAACTAAATAATTGCAAGAACATGCATCTATAATTCCATCAACTATTATTGCCAGAGATGATTATCAAAATGTCAAGGTAAATGTGCTATGAAGAACATGGTGTACATTTGCACTGCACTGGGAAAGGCAATATCAAAGCAAAGCATATTGCGTGGGTGTGAATGTGGAAACAGAGAGGACACAACTAAAGAAACATTATGCTCCATACAAAGCATAAAACACTTTCTAGGGGGTCAGGGAAAGAACATTACAATACGTTGGTTTATTTAAGATGTAATCCAGACTCCACTTAATTCACTTGATACATTTTGGAGTATGTGTAATTGCTTCACTTAAATTAATCAAAGCACAATTGGCTTTTATCTGGCACAGGTAACACATACCGTGTGGGAACCAGACACATTTGATTTATGCAGTGTTTGTTCAGCTTGCCCCAAGTAGCACAATCTTGTTTTGGATGATAAATTGAGTAAATACAGGAATGGAGCAATAAGGAGGTACATTCCCACTGTGCTTAATTCAGCAAAGGGACACTTCACATCTTATAATGTGCTAAGTACCTCCTTCTCACATATGTAATTGAGAGCGGAGGAAGTCAGCATTTTGCAGGACTGGGTCCAACATATATATACAGCTCCCTTTTATATCAATCTGTGGTATTTATATGATATTGATTTTTGGCATATATAAAATGACAAGATTATAAAGATACAAGTGTCCAGAACAAACCTATACTTTGTATTTTCATGAGGGAATGTGTATGCCCTGGGCTCGTTCTGATTCCTTCTGGAAAGAGATTTCAAAGCCAGGCTCCTGAAACTAAGGATATTCAGTTTGCAGAGACAGAGAGCCTACATCTTTAGTACTTAGTATTGCATGTTGGGTTAAAAAGTACAAGACTCTTGGAATTTTGTTGTTTTTTCTTTTAAGGAAGCTTAGAAAAAAAGTGAACTTTAAACTGAGAGATTAGAGTTTCTAAATGCCGGTGGACAAATAATTGTGATTGCAGGACATTGTTGTGGAGAACCTGTTGTGGTTTCTGTCTAGTAATGGTGCACAAGATAGCATAGCTCTAATGGGATGATATGAAGAAGAAAAAAACTGGCTGAATTTAAAAGAAATCCCCCTAATGGCTGCACTTATGAGATTGACAGGTCACTAGAAAGTAAAGTTGAAGGGCAATCTGGTAGGAGTAGTTGGATAGAGAAGATGATTCCTTTCTTCTCTGATTACTGAGATTAAGTGATCAAACTTTCAATACACTGGTTGCTATAGCAGTAGCTAAGAATATGTATGTGTTTGTGTGGAGGAATAAAGAGCATGACAAAACAAACAAAACATAAGAGAAATATTCTAATTTTAATTGTTTGTTTTAAATTATTCATACATTTTTTCTGAAAATTACTGTTCTGCACATCACTTGAGTTTCAAAAGTTCCCAATTCAAAATTCATGCTCTATTGGGTTACTTAAATTGCATAGTATTGTCTCTATTAGCTGATTGGATGATTTAAGTAACTAAAAAGAGGCAAAAAGTGAGAATGAGGACTTTTATAATTGAATGTTCAATTTAGGTTTTGCTTTTGGAAAATATAAGAGTTAAAAGTTTACTTTTTGCCAGAGTTCATGCTAGTAAAATTTTGGTACTGAATGTTCCCAGGAAGGAAAAACATTTGAGAGTAACAAGTAAAAATGTAATGTGCTTCTGAATATGCAGAAATACTTGTACAATTTATCTAACTGTTTGGTATTGTGTACACCTAATTATAGAATGGTATATGGTATTGAAATTCTGGGTCCACACATGCAAGGTACTAAACAGCCTTAATTCTCAGGTACATCTCTGGGGAGAGAATTTGTTCAACATCCTGAAGGATGATGAGGCATGTGGCTTTTTTTATTATAGTATACCAATTGATCATTAAAAATAGTTTGCATCAATACCTGTAATTAAAGTTTTTACTTCATTTCACATTTTTTACTTCATTTTATTTAATTTCATGTTGTTTTTTTTCAGGGGAATCCGGTTTCTCCAGATACTTCGCATGCTTCATGTAGATCGGCAGGGTGGCACTTGGAGACTCTTAGGATCAGTTGTTTTCATACATCGTCAGGTACTGGATATTTAAAAATTCCTAACATGTAACCATGACACTTATTTCTTTCTTGGTCTTCAAATCATCTGGTTTAAAATGAACAATTATTGTTGCAAGGTAGAATGAATCACATTCAAAGACAATCACTTTTTTTTTCCTTTTTAAAAAAGGAATACAATCTGGTTGAATGTTTATTTCAGTTTGGTGACTAGTGGACAACAGCAGTGATATTTTCTGAAAATTAGCATTTTAGCTGTGAATAATGATGAAAATTTTTGCAGTTTGATTTTGCAGTTTGATGAAAATACTCCGGCATAATTTATTGAATGCACTTGTGTAGTTTGTTTTGCATATAAAAGTGCTGTCAAGTATGTTCATAGGAAATGTGTTCTAGCCAGGTTATTTTGGCAGGGAAAAAAAAACTCACAACAGTGCAAACTCCTTACATAAACACATCGACCATTTAAATCATTCTTTATTATTTAGTTACTTACACATTGGGGGTTCTAATCTGTGCTATAAATACAAATATTGAATATAGTGTTATAACATGCAGGAAACATTATTTTATCTAAGGATATAGGTTGTGCAATAGAGGTAAATATTTCTATAAATAGCAGCCTGTTTTTGTTAAAGGTTTTACATTTTACCATTACCTTTCCTGTTTGGAAGTTCCTTAAGCTTAAATAATTACATCATGTATAGACTTCAACACAGACTTCACCAAATGAATGATTGAGAGGCCCTTTTTTTAGGGTTAATTTTGAATATTTTTTGGTGAAAATGGATGCTTGTGGTTAACTATATCAGCATAATATTACTGTCATTCTCTCTTACTCATCCAGTCATATCATAGTGGTTCATTCCACACTACAGGTTTCTTCACTTTTACAGTAATTTGTTTCTTTTCCTATGACAATCTGTAAGCTGGCCACTTGAGTCCTGGATCCCTGACCTGTGCTCAGGCCTGTAAGAACCAGTCTAGTGGCTCCGGACAAGCTGGGGACGCTGAGATCAGGGCAGGCAGTGATACAGCTGCTGTCTCACAGTCAGTAGGTTCAGGGCAGGCAGTCCAACAAACTCTGTCCCAAAGTCAGTATGGCCTAGGCCCTGGTTCAGGGCAGGGCTGCAAATAAATGCAGTTCCAGTTATTAAGGCCCAGGCCCTGGTTCAGGTCAGGGCAGCCAAAGCAACAGTTTCCCTCAGCACGAGCAGGGAGGGGGAGACTGCCACCTGGTATGTGGGGTGGCGGGGGGACGTGGGCCCTCCCTACTTCACCACATCCCAGCCTAGGGCTCTAGCAGTGGCAGTCCTGGCTGCCACTGGGGTCAGCGGGGATCCGGCCTGCAACACACTGACACTCTCTAGAATGTCAGGAGGTCAGACTGAAAGTCGGGGGCTTCCCCTGGACCACTTCCTAATTCCCCTAATTCCCCCTAACTGGCTCCATGCCAGCTGTGGGTCCTCAGGGGTATGGTAATCTGAACCCTTAGGCAGAGTGTAGAAGGTCCCAGTGGTCTGGGCCAGTCCTTAGCCTCTTCAAGGTCCTAAGGGCTCTCCTGGCTTTGGAGCAGGCATCTGCTTCCTCCGGCAGCTGTGACCCTACTGAGCTCCCGGGCTGGGCTTTTATGCTCCCTGCCCTGCTACCCTTGGTCTCTGTGGAGTTGAAGGGGCAGGACCCAGCTCTGCCCAGCTGGGCTTGGAGAGGGGTTCTTCCCCCTTGGGGTCAGTGAGTGGGCACCCTTGCTCACTACACAGTCCTTCCTTCACACTCCTTCATATAAATCTGTTCTCCATTTAGTGTAAACAACTATGAACTTCCGCCACAGGTGCCACCTGCATTTACTTTGTCTTCAGCAGAACATTGTTATGTTACCAATGCCTGGGAGCTGCTTAAAGCAAAACACTGAAAATCTATAGTATAGTTATTCTTGTTCCATTAACATTTTTGCTGCACCACAGGTAACTTCAGACCCAACAGGAACTGTATTGAAAAATATTGAATTCCTGATTGAAAAGAAAATCCAAAACAAACAGCCAAAATACCTCAGTCCCACAATCCGACTTTATTCCTATATGATGGGAGCAATTTAATGGTCTATATTCATGTAAGCTTCACTGTTTACCTCTATACTGCATGGATATCCCTATAATGTTGAATTAGACTTCTAAATTATTTTCTCCGCATTCACGAGGCTTACTGTGGGAGTTTTTACAGGCAAATTAAAAATGCCATGCAGAACTGAAGACCACGAACCAAATGAATGTGAAGTTCTGTTACACTAGATAAGTGATTATTGAGAGCTATAAGAAGTCTTCATATCTTCATATCGTTAAAAAACTGGAAACAAAGGATATGAATAAATGGGAAGTTTTCAGAGTGGAGAGAGGTAACTATTGGGGTCTCCCAAAAGTCTGTCCTGGGACCAATCTTATTTAATATATTTATAAATGATCTAGAGAAAAGGGTAAACAACGAGGTGGCAAAATTTGCAGATGATACCAAATTGCTCAAACTAATTAAGGCCAAAGCAGACTGTGAAGAGCTTCAAAAAGATCTCCCCACACTAAGTGATTGGGCAACAAAATAGCAAACGAAATTTAATGTTGATAATTTTTTCCAATGTGTATTACTTTACATTTATCCCAACTATACATACAATATGATGGAGACTAATTTAGCTACAACTACTCAAGAGAGAGATCTTGAATTATTGTGGTTAGTTCTCTGAAAACATCCATTCAATGTGCAGCAGCAGTAAAAAAGCAATAGAAAGTTAGGAATCATTAAAAAATTAATAGAGAATAAGGCAGAGAACATCTTATTGCTTCTATATAAAACCATAGTATGCCCACATCTTGAATACTGCATACAGATGGGTCTCCTCATCTCAAAAATATATATCTTGGCATTGGAAAAGGTTCAGAGAAGGGCAACAAACATGATTAGGGGTTTGGAATGGGTCCCATATGAAGAAAGGTTAAAAAGACGTGGACTTTTCATCTTATAGAAGAGGAGACTAAGGGGGGATATAATAGAGGTCTATAAAATCAGGACTGGTGTGGAAAAAGCGAATAAGGAAAAGTTATTTACTTGTTCCCATAATATAAGAAATAGGGGTCACCAAATGAAATTAATAGGCAGTGGATTTAAAACAAAAGGAAGTTTTTCTTCACTCAGCACAGTCAACCTGTGGAATTCCTTGCCAGAGGATGTCGTGAAGGCTAGGTCTTTAACAGGGTTCAAAAAAGAGCTAGATATATTCATGGAGGTTAGGTCCATCAATAGCTATTAGCCAAGATGGGTAGGAATGGTGTCCCTAGCCTCTGTTTGTTTGTAAGTGGGTGACAGTACAGGGATTAGATGAGGATTACCCATTGTGTTCCCTCCTTCTGGGGCATCTGATATTGGCCACTGTTGGCAGACAGGATTCTGGGTTAGATGGACCTTTGATCTGACCCAGTATGCGTTTTTTTGTTCTTATGTTCTTATCTGTGGTGCTTGACTAAGGAGATAACCCACTGATAAACGAGCAGTTCAGAATCAAACATATTCTTTATTGACATTGGACAAATGCAGCTGACTTGCAATGAACAGAAGGGAAAACAGAACTCTTGTTTCCCTCTAGTCTGCAATAGAAATCTGGGTTTTAAAGAAGAACAAACAAAAACCTCTGCTTGTTTTTCTTTGCTTTGTGCTCTGGTCACAGACTTTTTTTGGTCACTGCTGAACTGATTACTTTTTCAGTACCAAATGGGATCCTAAATCCCTGAAAAGTATAAAAAGGTAAATTATTTGAGTCTCTTTGAAAATAAATGGGCTTGGATGTGTCTGTACCTAGAAAAGCTTACTAAAGATTGAACCAATGCTTTCCATGTGTGTTTCAGTTTTACCTATAGCTGTATTAGTTCACTGAAACCCAATTTTGGCTAGGGCACTCAGCTATTTTTAGCAGGTTGAGCTTATACAAATCTTGATGCCAAAGGCAACAGAACATGAGTCAATATCACATGTGGTGATGGAAAAACTTGGAAAAATCGTGCAGCTCACTGAAAAACTATTAAGTTAACTTATCCAGCTCCAGCTTATGACCTTCTAATCTTAGAGGTTCACTTCTCCCTCATCTTGCTTTGTGAACGGCCATAATGTTTCTAATAGAAGGTCAATTGATAGTTTTTCTAAGAGTTCTCAGTGTTATTATTTGGGATATTTGTCGTTATTAAAATGTGTGTCAGTTTAAAATAACCTATTAATGTTAGCCCCTGAATAATATCTATCACGTTACCCTACATGCAAGTGTGATTTTTTTTTTTTTTGGTTTTTTTTTTTTTTGCACACACCCACTAAAAAACTTTTAAGTCATAACAGAAAAGTATTGGATTGCTGTGGGGGAGAAAATAAAAACAGGGTTTTTTTGTTACTCTTTTGGTGTTGCACATTAGATATCTTAATCAAAAGCATTACAGTAAGCTTTGATGTGTGTAAGTGCAAGTCCTGTAATCTTGAATTGTGAATCTGGCCTGCTAGAAGAAAGCAAGCAGAAAAACAAGTAATTTAATTTCTATCTGTTTCCTCATCGATTGCTGTGGGGGAGAAAATAAAAACAGGGTTTTTTTGTTACTCTTTTGGTGTTGCACATTAGATATCTTAATCAAAAGCATTACAGTAAGCTTTGATGTGTGTAAGTGCAAGTCCTGTAATCTTGAATTGTGAATCTGGCCTGCTAGAAGAAAGCAAGCAGAAAAACAAGTAATTTAATTTCTATCTGTTTCCTCATC